TGTCGTGGGGCCACATCGCATAGACTGAAGATTATCCTGCGTGCGACAGTGGTCGGCGGTGATCCCCCTCCCCCTCTTCTTCCCTCTATCCCCTCGGGGGCGCCCCCAGGGGCTCGCTCCGCCCCGCCCCGCCCCGCCCAGTGGGCGGTGTCGAGGTTCTCACATCTCTCTTCGCTAGCGTGACGCGCCCCCATTACATTTACAGTTCAAGCCCATCGGCTCTGCCCTGATTTATAGCAAAACAATCCGCCGGGCCGATCGAGCCAGGAAAATACATACCACACTGTGGCTTAAGATGACTGATAACCACAACTAACATCTGATAAGCGATAATCATGAGCGATAATCATAACCTATAATCACAACTCATATCTGATAAGCGATAATCATGACCGATAATCATAACCCATTATCATAACCCATAACCATAACACATAACTGACATATGACAATTGATGAAGATAACTGATGAAGATAACTGATAATAACTTACGCCTCAGGCTTCCTCTCCTCCGGATGGGTCCTCCGCTCGACCTGCAACAACAATAACAACGTCTTAACCGTGTGAAAAAACGAAACACCCGCCTCACGCAATTTTACTTTACTTTTTTGGCCGAATATCGAGTCGGTTTATTTCCGCGTCGGCAGTTCTTTTCATTCATCTATATACTACGCTGCTCGTTTTATTTTTCGTTCACATCCAAATAATACCGCTTTCCGATACCCCCTCCCTTCCTCCCCTCCCGATCAGCGATGCGACGCGCGTTTGGGAACGGACACACGGGAGGCGCGTCGCGCTCCACGCGGGATGCGGCCGATCGGGTCGGGCCGCGCGGGCCGCCTGGCGGTGGCCTCCTCTGCAGGGGGACACACCATCGCGTCAATCACAACAATGCGCACGGCGACTCCGTGACGCGGGGGCCCTGACACATCACACCGGCGTCACTGGGGCACGATTCCGGTCATCGGACATGATCCTAACACCCCCATCTCTCTCCTTCTCTCTCTCTCTTTATCTCCCCCTCTCCCTCTCTCACGCT